GCTGTGATGTGTCATTCCATATTCTTTATGAAAATATGCTTATGAAATTAATATGACATAACAGATATACTTTATGCAAGATGGGTCATATGAGATATCATTGGAAATGTTATGATTTACTGAATGTGATTATCCTATTTGTACGCCTGTATCATTTCTGTATCTGAAATTAGGAATATTGACTATGTATCTGTATTTCAACTATGCTACTTTGGGTGACACCCACTGCCAACCCTTCAGGTACAACAACGGAAAAGCCGGACAGGGCAGATGGCCCGTCAACAAGGACAATGGACTGTAAAAGAGCTTAGTCTTCGTGTGAACCTGTGGGTCAGCCTGTGAAGAATTGCTACAAGGCCCTACAGAGTCAAATGGTCTTGTCACCAGATACTAAAACATTACCGGGGACTTCTTCTAACTTTCCACTGTTAAGGGGGGGGGGGTCAAACTAGGGAAACAAAGGACTCCTGCCTTATGCAAATCCTATTTAAGGGTGAGGAGTGAGGTAATCTGGGCCATCAGTTCTCCCCTGCTACCCCACCCAAGATGACTGCTGGAAACAACTAAAACTGAACTGGGGGAAAGAACTGAGCCCAAGCTGGAAGGGCATCTGGCCTGTGAAGAAGATTATTAGAACCACATTTAGGGTGAGAATTTACATGTAACCAGTTTCTTTAGTGTATTAAGCTTAGTTTGCGTGGTCTGTTTTATTTTCTTAGTAATCTGCTTTGTTCTGTCTGCTACCTCCTTAACTACTTAAAATACACATTTATAGTTAATACATTTATTTCTGGATTATAATATAACCCAATTTATATGATTTCTAACTGGAAGGGGGCGAGAAATTGTGCATACCCTCTTCCACATTGAGGGAAGAGGCGACTATAAAAGACGGTTACTCACCTTTGTAACTGTTGTTCTTCGAGATGTGTTGCTCATATCAATTGCAATTAGGTGTGCGCGCTCGCACCGCGTGCATAATCGTCGGAAGATTTTTACCCTAGAGACACTCGGTGGGTCGGCTGAGGTGCCCCCTGGAGTGGCGCCCAATATATGCCCCTGCCGACCCAGCTCCCCCTCAGTTCCTTCTTGCCGGCTACTCCGACAGCAGGGAAGGAGGGCGGGTTTGGAATGGACATGAGCAACACATCTCGAAGAACAACAGTTACAAAGGTGAGTAACCGTCTTTTCTTCTTCGAGTGCTTGCTCATATCGATTCCAATTAGGTGACTCCCAAGCCTTACCTAGGCAGTGGGGTCGGAGTTAGAAGTCGCGCGATGGAGGACCACTGAACCAAATGCAGCATCGCCCCTGGACTGCTGCACTATGGCATAGTGGGAAGTGAAGGTATGTACTGATGACCAAGTTGCTGCCCTACACATCTCCTGTATGGGCACATGAGCCAGGAAGGCGGAGGACGAAGCTTGAGCCCAAGTAGAGTGGGCAGCGAGGCGGGTAGTTGGGACACCAGCCAAGTCATAGCACGCATGGATGCCTGATGTGATCCAAGACGAGATTCGCTGCGAGGAGACCGGGAGGCCCTTCATCCGGTCTGCCACCGCTACGAACAGCTGGGACGTCTTCCTAAAAGGTTTTGTTCATTCGATGTAAAAGGCGAGAGCCCTACAAACATCTAGGGAATGCAGCTGTTGCTCTCGTCACGAAGCGTGTGGCTTCAGAAAGAAGACCGGGAGGAAGATGTCTTGGTTGACATGGAAGGCAGACACCACCTTAGGGAGGAAGGCGGGGTGTGGTCGCAGCTGTACCTTGTCCTTATGGAACACCATATACGGTGGGTCCGATGTGAGGGCCCGAAGTTCCGACACTTGTCTCGCCGATGTGATAGCGATGAGGAAAGCTGTTTTCCAGGAAAGGTACAGAAGCGAGCAGGTGGCCATCGGCTCGAAGGGGGCACCCATGAGTCTAGCTAGGACCAGATTGAGGTCCCACGTAGGGGCCGGATGACGAATTTGCGGGTACAGATGTTCCAAACCCTTGAGGAACCTGCTGACCATGGGACTGGAGAAAACCGAGCGCCCGTTTTCGCCAGGGTGGAAGGCTGAAATCGCTGCTAGGTGTACTCCGATGGATGAGACAGCTAGGCCTTGCTATTTCAGGGACCAGAGATACTCTAGGATGGTAGGTACTGGCACTTCCAGAGGGACAGTATTGCTCAGGGCACACCAGCAGGAGAAGCGCTTCCATTTGGCCAGGTATGTGGACCTAGTGGAGGGCTTTCTGCTACCCAAGAGTACTTGCTGCACCGAACTGGAGCAACACAGCTCAGATTGAGTTAGCCATGCAGTATCCATGCTGAGAGATGGAGGGACTGCAGGTCCAGATGACGTAACCTGCTGTGTTCCTGAGTGATCAGATCCGGCCACAATGGTAGAGAAATTGGTTTGGTTTCCGACAGATTGCGGAGTGTGGTGTACCAATGTTGTCTGGGCCACGCCGGAGCAATCAAGATTAAGCGGGCCTTGTCTCTGCGTAACTTGAGAAGGACCTTGTGGACCAACGGAAATGGAGGAAAGGCATAGAGCAGGTGGTCTTTCCACGGTATCAGGAAAGCGTCCGACAGGGAGCCCGGGGAGCGTCTCTGGAGAGAGCAGAACACCTGGCACTTCTGATTCTTGCGAGAGGCGAAAACGTCTATGTGGGGAAATCCCCACTTCCGGAAAACAGAATGGATAACGTCCGGACGTATCGACCACTTGTGAGGCAGGAAGGACCTGCTGAGGCGATCTGCCAAGGTGTTCTGGACTCCTGGGAGAAACGACGCCACCAGGTCGATTGAGTGGGCTATGCAAAATTCCCAGAGGTGTATGGCTTCCTGACAGAGGAGGGATGACCACGCTCCGCCTTGCTTGTTGATGTAAAACATAGCCGTTGTGTTGTCTGTGAAGATTGTGACACAACGGCCCTGAAGGTATTCGCAGAATACCTGACACGCCAGGCGTACTGCTCTCAGTTCCCTTACGTTGATGTGCAGGGTTATTTCTTGTGTGGACCAAAGACCTTGTGTGCGAAGGTCTGCGAGGTGAGCACGCCAGCCCAGAGATGACGCGTCCGTGGTCAGGACTAGAGATGGCTGTGGGGCATGGAATGGCATCCCCCGCAAACAAAGCTGGGGTTTAGCCACCAACCCAGAGAGGATAAGACCTCCGTCGGCACTGTGAGTACTGTGTCCAAACTGTCTTGGCCTGGACGGTACACTGACGAGAGCCAGGTCTGAAGCGGACAGAGGCATAGTCTGGCACGTCTGGTCACGAAGGTGCACGAGGCCATGTGGCCCAGAAGACCGAGACACATGCTTGCTGTCAAGGTCGGGAAGCTTTGGAGGCTGTGAATAATGGTCATCATGGACTGGAAGCGGGCATGTGGTAGGCACGCCCTGGCGAGATTCGAGTCCAGGGTCGCCCCAATGAAGTCTATTCTTTGGGTTGGCTCCAAAGTGGACTTTTTGGTGTTGAGCAGCAGGCCCAGTTGCCTGAACAAGCTCATGATGAACTGAACATGAGACTGCACCTGTATCTTGGAACGACCCTGAATGAACCAGTCGTCGAGGTACGGAAACACTTGGATCAGATGTCGGCGGAGCGGGGCCGCTACGACAGCCATACAAAACTTACTATTAACTACACCATGACTGTTAAAACTATTAAAAACTACACTGAACAACTATCTACAGTACAACGAGTAAAGAGCTAGGGATGTGGAGATCAGCTATGCTGCGCTCCACAGTTCCAACGACCGTCACGGGCGGTAAGAAGGAACTGAGGGGGCGCTGGGTCGGCAGGGGCATATATCCGGCGCCATAAGGGCGCCACTCCCGGGGGCGCCTCAGCCGACCCACCAAGTGTTGCTAGGGTAAAAATCTTCCGACGATCGTGCGTGCACACCTAATTGGAATCGATATGAGCAAGCACTCGAAGAAGAATATATATTTCGGTCTGTACTCCAAGGGAGGTGGACATCTAAGTGCTGGAGCAAGTCCCTTAAGCTGAGACTTCCCAGAGCTGATCTGCAACTGGGTGTGGCCCTGCCTGTGTGTGTGTTAGAGGAGGTTTTAAGAGCCTGGCTCAGCAACACAGGTAAAAGGAGGCCCAGGCTGGGAGAACAGGTAAACTCAGTGGTATCTCAGCACATCAGGTGACTTCCCAAGGGGTCCAACCCATCACAGGGGCCAAGTATCGTAGGATAATACAATTTATAAAGAAAAAAATCCATAGAGTACAACTCATTTACAAAAGAAGGTTTAGAGTGCTGTAGAATCCATTGCTTCTGTAGAAAATCACAGCCCAATCAGAAGATTCACTTGTTGGCGAGAACAACATCTTGGCATCGAATAACAAATCATACAACTCAAAGCTCAAGAGTAGCCTACATCTTGAAATGACAAAATTCATCAGGCCACATTCTGGCTAGTGCGAGGAAAGTGACATCTGTTGATCCCAACTAAATGGGTGCCCATACTGTACTCTGCAACAACGGCCATACTGTGGGATCATTGTCTGGCCAGCAGTAACCCCAGGTAAAGCAGCAGGTGCAGGAACGAGCACAGAAAATATAAACACCATTGCTGGGTTGGGGATCACACACACACACACACACACACACACTTTACCTCTAGACCTTGTCCTACATCTCCTCTAATGAATGACTTTCAGTAGCTTCTCTGTGGGCTTAGGAGGGGAACTGAAATAGGAACGACTAACTTCCATTCTGCACTCCCCACTGCCAGGAGCCTATACACAATGCCTGCCAGAATTCATCCCATTTTACTATAAAATGTATGTGACATGTTAAATTAGCATTAAAATTACTCCCATTTAGTCAACACAATTTACCTTTGAAAAAGCGCATTCAAGTCCATGGGAAATACATCCACTAGGAGAACTTAGTTAATTCTCTTTTTTACAGTGGTTCAGAATCAGTGCGATTGTCTATGTAATTAATGCATTTCTTTTATAATAGAACACCAGATAAAGATAACTTACTTCATACTAGGGAGGATGGATGCAGCTGTGAGAGGGGGAGAAAGTCGAGGAGGAACATCATATTCTTCATTTCCTAGATGGCCATTTGAAAATACCTGAAAAATGGACAGAAATGTTACTCGGATATTGTTACTTATACAGCATCACAGGAGTGTACTGCTTTACAAGTTCAGAAAGGTCTACTCGCCCACCCGCCAGGAGTCTGAAGTCTGAACTGATGGACACAGCGCAAACACTTGCTGCAGACTTGTGCTCCTGAATCTTAGCTTCCATTAAATTATACATAAAGACTGAAACATTAATCAAGTATTAAAACTCATGCAATGTTAACTTTGAGAACTGGCAGACGTAGAACAGCAATGCAGAGGTGAGAATGGCCTTGTTCATCCAAATGGGTTAAGCCTGAAACCTAAAGATGACAATTTAGATGTCAACTGGTGAAAGGGCCAGTATATGGCCTCTCCAGAGCTCAATGGCATGGCATTTTCACATTGGTTGGCTACTCAGATTGAGTAACATGACACCTCTACCAGCCATGAGACTGGACCCATGAAACATTACTACCAAGCTCTAATCGGAACTGTAAATGTAAATCCAATACTCTCTTAAAATATGACTCAAATTAAAGGGCTTTCAACAAGAGTCTAGCTGGATGTAAGGGTTGGTGCTTTCTCTGTGGGAATCTGGATGGGAAAATAGTCACTCTGTAAACAATATCATGGAATTCTAGAGCTCCTTTCACTGGATCATGTCAAAGCACTTTACCAGCACTTATTAAATTCCCACTTCATCCCTTTGAAGTATGTATAATATCCACTTTACGAAATGGAGACACAGAGGTTAAGCAGCTTGTCCAAGGTCACACAGCAAACAGACAGAAGAGGCAATGCATGTCTTTCAATTGTAGTGAGTTAAATCACATATCCATCCTTTCTCTCTTCATAATACAAGTTATATATTTTCCAAGCTAAAGAAAGAAATTACAGTAGAGCAGCTCAGAGTTAATAGACTGGTCTAAGAATCATTACTGAACCTCTTGATAAAACTGATTACAGTGGAATCAAGAATATTTTTCTTAGGTCATTGCTAAGGCCACAGCTATCCAATGTCTTTAAATCTATAGCTGAACAGCTTTAAATCAGCATCTTCTACTTATGGAAAAGATTTCTCAGTTTTCATGAAAATCAGGTGAAGATCGTTAAGAGTAAAGAGGTTTTAGGGCAAGATACAAAGCCCACTCACCCCAATAGCCTTAGAATAGGGCTGTCAGTCAATAAAATCTCCAAGCTATATGTTTAAGTAATTTTAAATACAATTTTAATAAAAGTAGCAACATGTGCTGGCAATCAGTATTTTCAACTTGTGTGCCTTCCTGCAAATAAACAACACTGACAATACAAAAATGGTAATTTTTCAGTTTTAAAAGGCAAAGCTATATAATGTTCAGGCAATAGATTTTAAGCCCCAGGGGCATTAAAAAGACTTATTAACTCACATGAAAAAGGTAGTCTCTGATATCAGTAGGGAAGTCGAACATTCCACTCTGACGAAGGGCATGTTCATTGCCTTGATGCCTAATTTTAGAATCTACAGTTTTCAGGCATATACAGCGGGTGAAAACCAACTCCTCAGAAATAATATTTTCCTAATTAAAAATACAACATTTTTTCACCTGCTTGAAAAGCAAATGGAGTAATTCAAACAGCCTTTATTGGAGAAAGTCTCAAATTAGTAATTTTAAATACTTGAGAAGTTCTCTATTTTACATGTGTGAAGATGATCTCCAGTAATTACTGGAAAATTATGCAAGTTCTCTTTATTCCTCTAAGGCATTCTATGACCATCTTAATTTTCAAATCCATTTTTTAACCTTTGAAACTAGTTGTTCAAGTACTACAATACAGGATTTTAGCTATTTGTTTTGTCTTGTTTTAAAAACAGAGTTAGCAAAGAATTAATGGATATACTCTGTTTTCATGAAAGTATTCCTCTCACCTGTCTTAAAGGACTGAGAAATTCAAGCTAAAAAACCTGAATACACAAATACCTGTTAATCAAAAAACAAAACCGAGCACTAAAAGGGAGGGCTCGATGTAAGTTAGGATACACACTTTTCCAGTTATATTGGCAATAACCACAAGGCCAAGTAAAACTTTAATTACCAAAACATTGTATTTTGGGAATACAGTGTACCTAGTTTGTCATTTTAGTCTTAAACTGAGTTTAGAGACTAAAAATAAGAGGAAGGGTCAGAACTGTGCATTACTGACATAGATATAACACATTAAGAGCAAATGAGAAAACTTCATTAAGGCTCAATTTCCTATTGTCACTTTACAAATCAACTGTAATGTTAAGAAATCCCTTGAGGATGGGTGTTTTGTGGGTTTTTTTTGGTACCATGTCAATTGTTTATTTTAATCCCACTTTTACTTGAGTGGTTTGCTGATGTGTGACTACAACAATAATGGAACAGTACGCAAAGATACAACATAAAAAAAAGACATTGCTTAAGGGACAAATTTTAAGCCAGTCCTCCACATTATTTATTATGTGCTGGCTCTGAACTTATTCATGTGCAAAACTGCATATACATACGTGCCTCTGCACTTTACATGTACAAACATTTGCAATGTATACATTAAAAATTCTAACATCTACATGCACCATTAGAATTTGTATCTGCAAAACCCAGCAGCACAGATGCATGAAAGCACCCACATAATTTTCCACATGCACAAATCGAGGCCTAATGGCTGAAAGCCATATCCTAATATTCCAGTGAACGAAAAGCTCTGCATAATGTATTCATTTTCCTGAAGGATGCAACTGCACCTTTTGTGAAAGCTGTATTTTATGACAGACAACCACAATGATACTCATGTAACACATAAACTTGGACTTCTGACAAGTTTTATGATGTGCTCTACATTGATGCTGGCCACAGAGATGCGATATGTTTGCTTTAGGTACCATGTACTAGCAATCAACTGGGTAAATCCCTAAGGCTCTGTCTGATGTTCTATATTCACTGAAAGTATATTACCAAAAATAGTTTTTGCTGACTTGTGTGCATGCAAGTTTGCCATAGGAGTCATGGACATGCATCTGAGGGCAACATTTGACCCTTATGGAAGAGATATTCTATTATTTTGAAATATCTAAAAATAACCCTACATCAAACCATTATAGAGGACAAGACTCACAATCACAGTGGAGCAAGAGAATTAACATTCAATCATTACTAATATAGAAGAACAGCTCTAATATGGGATATTTACTCTTATATAAGAGGCAAACTGTATCTGACCTTCTACCTCCAATACCAGCTACTGGCCTTTAGATGGCCCTATACATAACTGTTCTCAGGAAAGATGCTAATAGTACAGTAAAATGTGTATCATTTCTTTTATGAAGCTTGTAAGACAGTGAAAGCTAGTTAAAATAGAAGCACATTCTCCAACTTAACAACTATGCTGGATATTGTTTCCCGTTGAGATTTATTAAGATGTCAGCAGAGATTTCACTAGATTTTCACTGCTTTGGGTACTTTTTCTAGAGTGATTTTTGATCACATCAGAATGTCTGCTATAATGTGGCTCTGCCTCACCCACCAATTTCATAACTTTCAATATCAGGACTCTAGTACTAAAAAGCAGCATTAGAAGTCTGTTCCATTTTCAAAATTAATCATATTTATTTGGACATATTATATGCAATTGTCCAGAGCTGCCATAATGGATCTTGAGCCTACTTGCAGTTTTGGAGGCAGAACTCACTGGCTCAAAATGCTAGTGGAGTTAGAAATAATTTGAACAGATTCGTGCCATACTTGTGGACAGGGGAAGTCATAATGCCACACCATACTACTCAGCCTGGCCCAGGAAAGAATCACACAGGCCTCTCCCTTCATCGGGCCACAAGAAAGCCAGGGCCTCGAAAGGAAGTTGCAAATAGCATCATCCTCCATCTCCCAATCCCCTTCACCACAGAGAGCTGATGAGGCATCCTCTAAGGCTGGCTCCTTCACATCAAAAATTGCTACCTCCAAGCTACCCATGTCTGCCTTACCAGCCACTGCTGGTTACTGCAGCTCCCACAGCAGGTGCCCTCTATCTCCCTATTCAAGTCCACAGAAGGAGTATAGAGAACCAGACAAAGATCCCGCTGCAAAAATGGATGTTATTGCAATTAACTGCAACAAGAACGAGCAGAGATACAAGCATAGCTCAATTCTAGTTATGCTAATACTGCAACCTTATGGCTTTCCTTCAATGAGGTTTACAGGAGTTATAATATCAAATTGAGGATTGCAGCACATGGGGTTGTGACTAAGGGCACTTTGGGTACGTCTACACTGTGATAAAATACCCGTGGCATGGCGGCAGCTGGCCTGGATCAGTTGACTCGGGCTTGTGGGTAGTGGGCTGCAGGGCTATAAAATTGCAGTACAGATGCTAGGGCTCAGGGTGGAGCCTGGGCTCTGAGACCTTACGATAGGGGAGGGTCTTGGAGCTTGGTCTCCAGTCCGAGCATGTACACTGCAGTTTATAGGTGCGCAGCCTGGGCCCTGCAAGCCCAAGTCAGCTGACCCAGGCTCTGAGACTAGATGCTGTGGGTTTTTTAATCACAATGTCGATGTGCTCTTTTTACTGTAAAAAAGGGCAATTTATACATTTGATTTATACATATATATACACACATACACACACATCGGTATACAAGGTATCTGATTTATAATTTGTTCTACTTTTTTTTAAATGTATAAGCTATGACATGTGCATTTATTATTTAAACCTATTTCGTGGTTTGCTGTGGTTACAGAGTCTGCATCTCATCTAAGACTGGAGCATTTATCAATAAATGCATATGTAACTTTAATATGGTATTTCCAAAGACAACATATAACTGAAGTCAGTAACAGCACCAACTCTAAGGATCATTTGCTAGAAGAATATAGCAAATCTAGAATAGTTTTTCCTGCGCTGCCATTTTTGTGATGGCTTCAAGTTAGGATTTAATTTTAACTGAACCTCATTTACTGCTGCTTTAAATTAGAGTTTAATGAGCCTCTCTTATTTACAGCCTAATAAGTATCGACAGGAAAGCTTCAAATGAAGCAGATTGACATCAGCCAACATAAATGGCACTTTAACCAATGTGAGACTTCACGTTGGATTAACACATAAAATTAGGCTTCATGCTTTGTGCCACGCATCTCTTACCTTGGCACCTTCTAAAGGCAAATCATGGCGTCTATGTTTTCTCATAAATCCTGGGTCAGAACCCATTCGGTTGTGCCTTCCATTTATATTCGAACTTGCAGTGAGTCCTGGTTTGGGGGAACTGTCATTTAGGATTCGACATCCTATTAATGGACTTGTCCCAAACACATCTCTGGGGCACCAGGCTTCAAGTGGCACAGGCTGGTCTCTGGAAGGCACACTTTCAGGATGATGCAAATGTCTACTTATCCTGTTGTCCGGCGGGATAGGAGGGGGTCTCTCAGGTGGAGGTGGAGGAGGATCTCGCAAGGGAGGTGGTGGTGCTGGGAGGGGTTTATCCTGTTTCCTCACCATACATGGAGAAGACTAAACAAAACCAGAAATTAAAATAAATTAAGTCTATGGATGTACAACTCATGAAAATGTACCGCTTTACCTTTTTTGTCTAAGGGACAAACTTCAGGCAGAGGCTAAGCAGGCATTTGTCTAAGATGAGAGATCTTAAGGTGGCATCATAATAGTATTGGGACGCATCAATATGCCAATCCCAACCCCCCTCTGCTCCACCAGTGGGGTTCTTGATCAGCAACTCTCCCTTCAGAAAACATTCCCATTTCTGCAGGGGTGAAGGGGGGGAGGGGGGAGGAAGGGCTGGCATCTCGGGGTGATGAAACTTCTCCAGAATCCTCCTTTGCTCTGGCTTCCACAATACCTCCTTTGAAGCACTGCTACAGGCCATGCAAAGGATTCTGGGACATATTTGGGAGCTCAAAATGTCTTCTGCAGAAAAAAAAAAAACATTTTTGGAGTGGGGAATAACACAGTAAAATGGACTGGGTGGCGAGGGAGGGAGAAAAGGAGCATGGAGCAGCAGTGGTTAGGGACCAGGAGGCAGAATGGACAAGTCCCATTTTTGTTTAGGACACATATGCACCTATGGTCAACTCTGCTCTTTACATGCCATCTACTACTAGAACAAACTTGTTCAAGTCACTCAGGTGACATGCTCACTGTATATTTATGCTTTCAGTTCACACACAGTACATTTCCTCTGTCAGAGCATTTCCTTGTTCAGATTTGAACAGCATTAGAAATTAAATGAAATATATTTTAAAATTGTTCGCAAAAATAATGAACCCAAGTATATTTTAAAAAGCAGGAAACTGGTCAAAGGAATATATCTAGGGCGTTATAACGCTCCTATAAGCGTAGTATATGAGAAAAAAAGGCATTTTCATAAGAATTAGATTATTACCACCATCTTGCAAAATTATGCTCCTCAAGTCATCTGAGGTGTCCACCCCCAGAAAAATCATTACTATTAATCATCATGGTAAAAGGTAAGCAAATTTTGTGCCTGGATGGTATAGAATTTTGCAAGGCTGCATTGTTTTTCTGAAAGATATGCTCTAGGAATTATTTTGGTTAAGTTTTATAGCCTGTATTACAGTAGAACCTCAGACTTATGAACACCAGAATTATGAACTGACCAGTCAACCACACACCTCATTTTGAACCAGAAGAATGCAATCAGGTAGCAGCAAAGCCAAGAGACAGACAGACACACACAAAACAAATACAGTACAGTACTGCACTAAACATAAACTACTAAAAAAAATAAAGGGAAAGCAGAATTTTTCTTCTGCATAGTAAAGTTTCAAAGCTGTATTAAATCAATCTTCAGTTGTAAACTTTTGAAAGAATAACCGTAACGTTTTGTTCAGAGTTACGAACAACCTCCATTCCCGTGTTCGTAACTCTGATGTTCTACTGTATACAGCATGCCAGACTAGATCACAATGGTCCTTTCTGGCCCAGGGATCTATGAATATTAACACTACAAGAAAAATAACCCACAATTTTGCTGAAAGGAAGAAAGCACTGCATTTAGCCTTACAGTGCAGGTACTCCCTCTATGAATTTCTAGGGCAACTGTCTATCTCCTTTAATCACACTAAATACTAACTTATTCCACTAGTAGACCGCCACAGAAATAAGTGGAACTACTTCTCAGGTGCTATTCAACATGAGTAAAAGTGGCTAAATCTAGCTTCTACTTAATGAACTTTTCCAAGAAGGCTACAAGGTAGGGCTGGTCAAAAAATTTCTGTCAACATTGTTTTTCAAAGAAAATTGGGTTTTTGACTAAACATTTTTTGTGGAAAGTGTCTTTCTGTGAAAAATTGCAACTTTTTATTGCAAACCTGGAAATTCAGTGTTGGGTTTTTGTTTTTCAACTAAAAGTCAACTTTTTTTCAAACAGCTTTACTGCAAAGTTTTTAACAAAATGTAATTTTCTAGTAAATAGTGGTACACCTCTACCCCGATATAACGCTGTCCTCGGGAGCCAAAAAATCTTACCGCATTATAAGTGAAACCTCGTTATATCAAACTTGCTTTGATCCGTCAGAGTGCGCAGCCCCGCCCCCCCGGAGCACCGCTTTACCGTGTTATATCCGAATTCGTGTTATATCGGGGTAGAGGTGTATCTGGCGGAGGTAGCTGAAATTTTTTGATTTGACAGAAGAACAGTGGACTATATACAATATTGAAAAATACATTTTCCGTGTGGGGTGCAAAGAATTCAATATATACTCCAAAAGAAGGAGTAGTGTGTGTCTCTTTCCCTTTGTACTACACTAAAGAGTAGGGCATCCCTCGAGCCCTTGATCAGAGATTTTCAGTTAGTGTCCATTCGGCCCATGCATGGGCCTTATGCCTCCTTGTGACAGATACGTAGGGGTGCACAGGCGAATTGCCCTTAGTTCCTTCTCCACTCAAACATCCCCTTATGAAGAGTCTGAAGCAGAGGGGAAGTAGGACAGGTAGTGGCGAACCCACAGGGGGACACATCTCAACGAACAATTATTGCACACAATGAGTAACCTTCTTCTTTGAGTAGTGTCCCTATGGGTGTTCCACTTCAGGGGACTTCCGAACAGTAACCACAGATTGCGGAGGAAACTTCACAGAGTTCAGAACTGCAGAACCAAGTGCCGCATCAGATGTGACAGCACAGATCAGGGCGTAATGATTTGAAAGAGTATATACTGAAGCCCATGTAGCGGCCCTACATATTTCAGATACTGGTACATTCTTCAGTAATGCCATAGGGCAGGGGTGGCCAAACTGTGGCTCATGAACCACATGAAGCTCTTTTTTCATTGAAGTGCGGCTTGTGGAGCTCCCTAGCGCCCCCCCGCTCTCCCCTCCATTCCCACCTACCAGCCCGGGGGACTTTTGCCCAGAGATCCAGTCTTTTCTGAGCCTTGTCATATGGTATAGACTTAGACAAGTGCTGCCTACCCTGCTACCGTTTACTGCATCCAGGAAGTTAGGTTGAGGGTCAGGTTAAGTCAGAATCCTTAGGTGGAACGTGCTGCTTCTTTCGTATGGCTTGGGTAGGTAGCAACAACTACAAATTTATATCTTAAGTTTGAGAACCAGCACACTGCCAGCAAAGGAACGAATGGGACATTCAGATATGATGTGCTCTATTGCTTGACCACAGTCGCATACCCAGTGTTTGCCTCATTTTCCATTTAAAGAGGGTTTGTCCACATCTCCCATGAGATGTCCTGATGTAATTCAATCTGCAACAGTCTTTCTGACATGAATCAAATCCCGGTGGTTCCTCAACAGGATGAACAACGAGCTGTTTGTTTTGAGAGGTCGAATTGCTCCATGTGACTCTCCATTGAGCCTCAGCATCAAAGTTGGGTGTAAGGATCTTGATATGGTTCCATAGAGGGTTGCAGGATTTTAATCTTGTCTTTAGCGGTTCTGCAGGTCACAGTGCAGTGGGATCTCCGTATTTGCATTGACATGATTAAGAAAGCGAGATGTATGAGCAGCTCTTCTAATCTGTGGAGGCTGGATGTGCAATAGGACCGGGAGCCAGTCAACTGGAGTAGATTTGAGCGTCTCCGACACTATGCACATAGCATTATTGAGTTGAGCGTCAAGGAGTTTAGTTTCAGAGTGGTAGCTGTGTTAGTCTGTATCAGCAAAAACAACGATGAGTACTTGTGGCACCTTAGAGACTAACAAATGTATTTGGGCATAAGCTTTTGTGGGCTAAAACCCACTTCATCAGATGCATGGAGTGAAAAATACAGTAGGAAGATATATATAGCAGTACATGAAAAGATGGGAGTTGCCTTACCAAGTGGGACAATTCAATTAAAGTGGGATATTATCAACAGGATGAAAAAACACTTTTGTAGTGGTAATCCGGGTGGCTCAATTCAAACAGTTAAGAAAGTGTGAGTAACAGGAGGGGCAAATTGGCGTGATGAGGAAATTAGTTTTTTTTTTTTTTTTTTTTTTTTTTAGTTCTTGTAGTCTTTATTCAGGCCTAATTGATGATGGCATATATCACACTAGTAGATGTGCAGGTGAACGAGTGCCTGATGGTGTGGCTGATGTGATTAGGTCCTATGATGGTGTCCCTTGAATAGATATGGAGTTTAGTGTGACTGCTATGAGACCACACTGGTGCACAATATTCAGCTGCAGAATATACCAAGTCAATTGTTGCGGTTTGTAAGGTCCATGGACTGGAGCCCCACGATGTTCCAGCCAATTTTCTGATAAGCGCAACATGAAAACTGACCTTATCGCAGGTGTTCTTGAGGTGTTGTCAAAAAGGTCAAAACTACAGTCCAGTATAACGCCAAGATACTTTGGATTAGCGTCATGGCTGACACTCTCACCACAGAACTGCATATCAAGTTTGGTATTAGCCATTTTATCGTTCAGATGGAAAGCAGTTACCATGGATTTCTTTTGGATTAGGCATAAATTTCCAGCATTGGAAATAATCAGCCATTGTGCTAAGATCTCGGGTTAGGGTGCAGCTGATGATATGGAGGCTTGTATGCTGAACTGCTAGGGCAATATCATCCGCATACATGAATTTCTTTGACTCCGTCGCTGGTATATCCACAGTGTATAGATTTAAAAGTATTGGGGCCAGGACAGAGGCCTGAGGGATGCCCAAGTTAAGAGTTCTTGGTCTAGTGATCTGGCCATTGAGGTGTACCTTAAAGCAGTGGTCCCCAGTCATTGCCAGGATCGTTCACTGGCAGAGAATGACACAGGAGACCTTGAAGAGGAGACCCTGCCTCCAGACAGTGTTGTATACTGAGGACAGATCAACAAGGGTCATTCCTGTCTTCAACCTGCATTGGAATCCTGCTTCAATGTGGTTGGTAAGTGAAGCTATGGTCGTTTTACAAACATCCTAAAAATCGACCGCTAAGAAGCACATCCCATGTGGCCACCGCAAGGCTTTCACCCCCTGCTGGACAAAAGAATTCGAGTCTCTCCTGAGGGAATAAAAAAAGAGTAGCAACCCAGATAAAGCCACCGCAGTGCTTGAGTCCTTTAATTCGGCATGCCTAGAAAGGTGGAAAAAGACCACTGAAAGCCTTGATTTCACGCATTTGAGCCTTAAGGCATGGGATCCCAGGCAGTAACGCACAACTCAGCCAAGGTGACAGCAAATGCTGTTGCCTCATTTTCTTTCTAACAGCAAGACACTGACAGACAAGATTACACGCCAGGAGGTCCAGTGGGAACTCCACAGAAGCTTTCAACAATGCCCAGAAGAATCCCCACTCTCTTCCCCATATTCTGTCGAGGAGATCAATGTTGCACTGTTGGAAACCATAGTGCTTCTTACCTACCAGTTTACACATGGGTGGAATAGTGGCAGGTGTCTGCCACACTGTCTTAGTCTGATCTAGGAGCTCCTCGCTGATGGGTGATGCCACCCTGGAGGGTGTTGCTAACTGCAAGATAGCCAATAGTTTGTGCTGCGAATCCTTGATCTCAGAGGAATTTGAAGAATGACAGCAATCCTTTTTATGAGGTCTTGAAATTGTTTAAAATAATCTACTATGGATAGTGGTGGAGGCATAATCACCTCGTCCGGGGATGAGGATGAAATAGGTGTTTGAGGGGTGGCCTCCTTACCTGCCTTAGCTTCCTGCTCCTCAAATGTCTCCTCCTTTGGGGGAGCTGGTTGGGGAGGAACGTGCTGTACAACTCTGGCCTCGCTGAGACAGTACCAGTGGTCTGGCAAATTGCTGTCAATAGGCAGCCCAAGGGTCCCAGGGTAGCCATTGCGGGGGGGGGGCCCCCAATATGGAAGTGGAGGTGGCATGCAGGGTTGGTTCCACCACCCTTGATAATAAGCCTGACTTTCCCTATGACTTTCAGAGAATGGATTCCTGAAGGGATATGTTGGAGAATCCTCAAAAGAAATAGAGGATATTAACTGGAGGTCTCCTTCATCCTCCTCTATCTCATCTACAGAAAACCCACAGAAAACAGCAAAGAGTCCTGTGGTACCAGATGAGGTAGTCCAGGGATCCGGGTCTCAGTATCGAAAGACACTCAGTACCCAGGAGTGAGTTCATCCATTATTAAGAGGTCCTTAGTACATCTCAACTCCTGCGGTACCAAATAGGGGATTGGCACCGATTTGGAAGCCGAGGCCACAGTCACCAAAGCTGATGATACCGCCGATAGTGGGCATACCAAAGCAGGCACCGATGGTGTCTAGTGCCATTCCTTGCTCAGTGCAGAGGGTGCTGCATGCCTGGGTACCGACAGCTGAGCTGAATGCATAGGTACTGACATTTGGCTGGACTCAACGGTGCCAGTCACGAGTGTCTATGCTTGCCCTCCTTGCTGGTAAAAGGTAGCAAGGCCCTAACGAAGCCGTCTCTCGCCTCATGCTCTGGGATTTTACTGCCCCATTCATACCAGAGGGGTGTCCTTCAACTCAATAGTACCAAGTTGAGAGATTAAGTCTTCAGAGACTGTAGATCTCTCCAGGAACCTGGACTTTTTCTGAGCTGGCTCCTTAAAGTGACTGTCGGTGCTCCTCTTTTTGGAAGTCTTCCCTGAAGCCTCCAAAGTCTCACCTTTCTTAGGGGAAGTCTGCGCCGATGTAGAAGAGGCACTGGATCTGTCAGGAGACAGATGTACCGAGGAGCGGGGAGTCCTCTTGATGTGACTCAGAAGCTGGCCAAAGAGAGCAATCCATCATTAGGTATCTGAGTTTAATCTCCATGTTTTTCCTTACCCTGGACTTGAGGGCCAGACAGAAGTTGCACTTCTGGGAGACGTGGGACTCCCCCAAGCAACGGACACACTTAAAGTGGCAATTTTAAAGAGGTATAGCCTCTCGGCAAAAGAGGCAACATTTGAAACCAAGCCAGGCATGTCCTGCCAGGAAAAAGAAAAAAATCCTCTCACAGCTTATCTAGCTAACTAGAACAACTAACTATAAAAACTATCGTAACCACTATAGAAATATTAGAAAAGCCAAGAAGCGCTCAAGGAGAACACGCTAGGGCTGAGTCTCAGACTGAGGGAGTTGAGAAGGAACAGAAGATGGTTCGCCCTTGCACACCCATATAGCCTCAGTAACCAGCACAAGGAGGTATAGGACGCGTGCATGGGCTGAATGGACACTGCTAACTAAAAATATGCACACCTGAAGTGGAGCCCATAGGGCCATTACTCAAAGAAGTTTGTGCTACTGAGTGGATTTGAGCACTAGCTGTAAGACCATAGCCTCTTTAGCTCCAGTTTAAGTTAAATGACGGAGTTAATTAAAAATGCTAGGGATGAGGAAACATTTTTATATACCTCATTTGTTTTGGCTAAGTATTATGCTACTAAAATTAAATTTAATTTCAAAAGAAAGTTGAGCGTCAAGTGTAAAGGCAAAATGCTGATAAAATAAATAGTGTATTTATCATTGGACTGCCATGCACAGTCCAATACACATACATGCTAATACAGATTTCAAAACACACCTTCAACATTTAAGCTAATTCTTACATTTGTACACCAATTACAATAAAATGGTTCTCTCATAATAGAGAAAATTCAAGACACTTAAATCCAGTATTTTATATATATTTTCCTTCAGACTTCCAAGTACATAATTTTTAAAACTGTTCTAAATCACCAGTTTTCTTCATACACAAATACGGTATGTATTCATTGTGTACACATTTATTATTTCCTTTTCTAAACCCACTTGAAACATGGATCCTAATTTATCACACCTTAAGTTTTTGATAGCCAGATATTTGCATATTTTTTTCTTGCTAAGACATTATGGAAAAGAGTGTAAATCATCATTTGATTACAGCATGCAATTTTAATGCAGATAATGATCTTTTAAATGTACTTTAGAGTACTTTCAGTTGCTGTTTAATGTTGCAAATCAGGGACTATTAGAGGGACTTGTTCCATCAGAGTATGTCAATACCATAGTTTTAAAATAGTGAAATATAAGCATGGGGCAAATCACATGTAATACTGCTATCAAAACAGCGAAATATAAGCTTGGAGCTAAGCCTGTGTGACACTGCCATCAAAGTAAGAAATCATGTTTGTGTGTCATTAGCTGACTCTGCAAGATGTCATATAGGGGGACGGCCATAGGCTCTGATCCAAGGTTCACTGAAGGCAACAAGCCTTTCCACTGATTTAAAGGAGGCTTTGATCAGGCCCTTATTTAGTGAATTGGGACGTGTTAGAATTACATAGGGACTTGGTAGAAGGCCTAGGGGATATTTTGGATGTAGCCAACTTTAAAAAAATGCACTAGCCAATCTTTAAAAAAATGCACCCTAAAACTAACAAACATCATCTCTCATAATTCAGTTAGACAGAAACATGGTAAAATAAGATTTACCTTTGGTGAGCCAGTAGGGCTGGCACAAGGTGACCGTGCTACCCCCTTCTGAATGAGATCCAGACGAGGAGGCACCGGTGGGAGACTAAGATGGGGAATTTGCAGGGGGTCTGGAAGTGGCTTTCTTCTCTGTGTAAGTGGAGAGGATCCTGGAGAAGTCACTGGTGAATTCTGTCTTTCATTGCACTTCAATACAAAAAAGAGCACATTACTAGTGTTTACCCGATCCCATTAAGATTACAGCTTTCATTGCTTGATTAAGGCATTTGATATGTGGAAGGTGCTCTAGTCATCTGCTAGAAGTGCTCACCACCCCGCTTCTCTTGATTAACAGACACTCACTTTGCAAGGACAGCATTATTTAATGAACTGCTGCAATGTCATTCTTCCTCCAACTTTTACTGAGACACAGTTTAAGTAAGATTATTGAAAGATTTAAAAAATAGACAAAGAAATTAAATTATGTATTATTGCAATAGCAGAAACAGAAAAGAGGTTTATATAGAGGAACAGGGATGGAAAGTTCACTGTAGTACTTGTATTTTTCTCTTGGTACATGTTTATTTTATACGCAGCAGTCCATTTAGGATTCTATTTATTATTTTTAAAAGCTATTCAATGAAGACTGAATCTTTCACTTACCACACTGCATCATAGGTCATTTTAAAATCACACTTCAATATAAAGCTGAATAAGTTCTTCTAAGCTTTCAGTAAACAAAATCTTCAAGCCGGGATGCATCAGAACAATCATTTCTGATTCATTTGATTTATAAATTTCCCTTGACCAAATTCAATTTATGTAAACCAATATTACATTTAGTATACTTTTTTTTAATGTCCACAAGTGACAAATGTTAAGCTTATTTTTGTCTCAGCCTGTGCTTCACAAAATACACATTGACATTGCAAATTAAGTAGTTCTCTTTTAAAAGGCTAATCTAAATATAGAAAAAGGAATGCAAATGTACCCTGTAATCTAAAAGATAAATCCAATTCCCAGGATTTCAATTCTCATATTAGGCCCTGTCTGTGCTACTAATATACTCAGTTTTGCAACTGTTTTTGAAACTCATCTAATTTATAACACGTTGCCAACTCTGTCCACATACAATATCTATTCAAGGGACACCATCATAGGACATAACCACATCAGTCACACCATCCGGGGCTCGTTCACCTGCACATCTACCAATGTGATATATGCCATCATCTGCAATGCCCCTCTGCCATGTACATTGGCCAAACCGGACAGTCTCTATGCAAAAGAATAAATGGACACATATCTGACATCAGGAATCATAACATTCAAAAACCAGTAGAAGAACACTTCAATTTCTCTGGTCACTCAACAACAGACCTAAAAGTGGCAATTCTTCAACAAAAAAACTTCAAAAACAGACTCCAATGTGAAGCTGCAGAACTGGAATTAATTTGCAAACTAGATACCATCAGATTAGGCCTGAATAAAGACTGGGAGTGGTTGGGTCATTACAAAACCTAAACTTAATTTCCCCAATACTAATTTCTCCCTACTGTTACTCACACCTTCTTGTCAACTGTCTGTAATGAGCCTCTCTCTTACCACTTCAAGTTATTTTTCCTCCCTTGGTATCCTGCCGTTAACTGATTTATCTCATTAGACTGACCTCACACTTGGTAAAGCAACCCCAATCCTTTCATGTATTTATACCTGCTCCTGTATTTTTCACTTCATGCATCTGATGAAGTGGGTTCTAGCCCATGAAAGCTTATGCTCAAATAAATGTGTTAGTCTCTAAGGTGCCACAAGGACTCCTCGTTGTTTTTGCTGATACAAACTAAAATGGCTACCACTCTGAAACAGACATTTTAGTTATATCTATACAACATCTTTATTCAAAACAGAAGTGTGTGTAATGCTTGTAACAGCGCATTCTGGAAGGAAAAGAGAGTATACTTGGGCGATATGCACACAGAGCAGCAGCACCTGGAGTTCTGGTGCACTCTGGAACTCGTACCACACAGAGAGCCGGGAGCCCAAACGAGTTACAGACGCATAAATGAACGCTCCCACCCCATCTCTACAATGAATACATAAAGACAAACACTTTTCAGCGTAGGCTGCTGGCAGAAGTGAAATACCAAATCGCTAAGACAGATCAATTAGCTTTAAAGTTGTTTTTCTGTGTTTTGTTTTCATCTAATCTGCTCTTAAGTAAGAGTCTTACACATGCTGAGATACTGACAAAGGCTAGATAACCTATCTTCCATCATGAACTCAGGGCTTGTCTATACTTGAAACCCTGCAGCGCCGAGACATGGTAGCTAGGTCAATGGAAAAATTCTTCCATTGACCTAGCACTGTCTATACTGGGGTTAGGTCAACTGAACTATAATGCTCTAGGGGTGTAGATTTTTCACACCTCTGAACAATGTAACTGGGTTGCCGTAACTTTTTAGTGTAGACAAGGCTTCAAGAACCTATTCAGGAAAGCACTTGAGTATGTGTTTAAGCTCACTAATTAAATGGGACTTGAGCACATGCTTAAAAGTCATGCACGTAACTACACTCCTCACTCTGGAACCATAATTTAAAAAATCCATTTTACTAGAACAGAGGCATTCAATATTGCAGGAAACAAGTTTATTCTCAGTCTTTTTACCAGAAAATCCAGTGTTGTGTTAAAATCGAATTGTTTGGTAACTTCAAATAAAGTAGTCAATTATTGTGTATTGACCCTTGTACATGGGGCAAGGCATCTCCAATATTTGAACTGTCCAGGACAGATCTGGGTAGTACAGAACACATGCTTTTTGGGAAAAATCAGGGACTGGGAGTGTTTTGGGTTCACCCTGAAGGTAGTAACCAAGGCTGTTGGGAGCCAGAGTGTGGCTGGTGTGTTGTTGAGTGTTTGCTTCTGTTAGCCCTGCCAAACTAGCACAGCTAAGAGGGAATGAACCGGTTACTCTACTTTCTGGCATACCATACTAAACAATTATGTTTAAGTTCTAAACAATTATACCTGTGGAAGCCTAAGCTGAAGATAATAGGGTTGCACAAGCATCAATAAGATTTGGCCAGCAGAATGTTTATTGGGGGTGATGAAACATAACAAAGGAAGAACCCAGCTTGATTCTCAGATTTTGGTTTGTGCTTAGGAGTTAGGGGGGTGGGAAAAACACCTGAATTGTACATTGAGTAAATCCGAAGTTAAAATCGGTCAAATATAAAAACTAGGGTTAGAATAAGTTTTCAGAGTTGCACTTTCAGTATACCATTAACTTAGCTGAATAAACTTTTTAAATTTTTGTGTGAAAAGAACTCTGATATGAGGGTGATGAGCACTATATCAAATGCCTAAACAGATGACAGCAGAAAATCTGAGTGCAGTGAATTATTTCTGATAGCAACATGACCTGGGTTTTGTACGTGCCACCTTACAGTCTATTATACTACATGAATCTTTTTCTAGTGCTTCTATGTGAAGGATTTTTTTTTTTTTTTTGAGTACACTATTGTGAATGCTCCTCATTTTTTTCTCGACTCATCAGCCCAACACTTTATTATCTTCAGAATTCAAGATGTTTTCCCATCTGTTATGTTATTCTCCATTTCACTGTGTGATAAGCTTTAAGCTCCATATCTATTTGTTATGTGACTATTTCTACTCCATATGCCATGGCTGGTAACCCACAAGTATCAAAGTAATAAGGAAGTTTGTTCTGACCCTTCAGGCTTTGATCAGCCTGGCTGTTTGAAGTCTCTGAGTGGATAATCACTCCCTTATGATGGTGGGGGGCGGAGCTGAGTTGAGCTAAGCTAAGCAGGGAGACTTGGTATATAAAGTCATTTGCTAGGCCAGGGATCGGCAACCTTTGGCACGCGGCCCGCCAGGGTAAGCACCCTGGCGGGCCGGGCCAGTTTGTTTACCTGCCGCGTCCACAGGTTCGGCCGATCGCGGCTCCCACTGGCAGCAGTTTGCCGCTCCAGACCAATGGGGGCTGCGGGAAGCAGCGCGGGCCAAGGGATGTGCTGGCCGCCACTTCCTGCAGCCCGCATTGGCCTGGAGTGGCGAACCGCGACCAGTGGGAGCCGCGATCGGCCGAACCTGCGGACGTGGCAGGTAAACAAACCGGCCCGGCCCACCAGGGTGCTTACCCTGGTGGGCCGCATGCCAAAGGTTGCCGATCCCTGTACTAGGCAAACAAGAACTGTGAACAGAGGTAGCTAGCAGGACAGCTCCAGAGGGAGTTGAGAGAGGGAGTGTGAAAGAGTTGCCTTCCAGTTTCAGCTCTACATGTGATTTCAAGATGGACGGGGATGGAATAGTGATGATGACCTGCAATGAATGCACCATGATTTCTCCCCTGCCTGAAACCAGAAGATACTTCCTGTGCATGAAGTGCAAGGTGGTGACTGCTGGAGGAAAAGATTCTTGGATTGAAGGGGCAAACAGAGAAACTGAAGAGTTCCAAGACAGCCAGGTTTGGGAAACATCAGTACATCAGGTTCAAGGAAGAAAGGAGCCAGCCACCAAAGAGTCAGAAAGAGAGGATGTCAGAGTGTAAATCATACTGGCATTCCACATGGCTGGGGACAGGCAAGATTGGACAGGCTGTGAGTACTAGAAAGAAGAGAAGCAGGAGAAATTCCACCCAGCTGGAAGTTTCCAGTCAATAACAAGTCCTCACATGGAAACTGTGGAAAATACTTCTCAAGATTCAGCTGTTTCCAGGAAATGGTGATATGTACAGAACACACCTCTCAATGGTAGCTCGGCCCAACCTATAAGGAAAGCAAGCATACCCACAAAGCATTCTCCAGCCACGTAAGCAAGAGAGACCATCTTTGCTGGGGATTCAATACTCAGAAGAATCGAAAGAACATTCTACAAAGGACAGGTGGATAATAAGACAGTGTGCTACCTTCCTGGAGCCAAGACATGAAATGTCACTCAAAGATTGGATAGTATTCTGAAGCTGATGGGCCAGGATCCATTGGGGATGGTTCATATAGGCACTAATGACACTGCATCATGGGATATCTCAGATAATAGGTGACTTCAGAGAACTGAGCGCCGTCGCTCCTTGCCCACGGGACCCCAGAAGAGCAGAGGGCAGTGATCAGACCCCAGTACCAGCTGCCTTTTCATCCTTTTCATCGTCGGATGAGGCGGTGGCATGTACCTCGACCGCTCCGGTCTT